CCACTCTCACACCCCTCTTTCCCTCTTGTTTCTCTGCTCCACACGAATGTTTCTTACGGGTGCCACGTTCCGATATAAAAGAAATAAAGAAAATTTGTGTCTCAACGGAAAAAAAATAAGAGGGCATGGAGGATAGGTGCACATGCACCTACCGTTAACCAATGAACAAACCACAAAACGCGGTTGTACTGGAACCCCCACGCGTACCAACTATTGGTGTAATTTCATGGTAAAAAAAGTTTCTTGTATTCCGAGACCCGGTCTTGGATTTTCTGGAGAACGCCAATTGCACTTGAAAGTGTGCAAATTAGTGTTGAGCACGTGCGTGTGCGCGCCAGTGTAACACTTTATTAATCAGTGCAGTCGCTATACACTGTTGAAAATTTGGATTCCCTGAAGATTCACCTTCACCCGAAGACTCCGTACCTAGCTTTCATGTCGTAAAACTGCTGTTGAAAGTAGCGGAATTATAAGTCGTCTGTCTTTCGAAGTTCAACTCGACACGTGAAATCTACGGCGTCCTTTGGGAAATATCAAAAGGAATTGGGCAATACTTTTAACGCCTTTATCTTATTGCAGTGTTTCTGAAGTTAATCAATTTTTAATAACGAAGAAGAGTTGCGATTCTCTCCCCCCTCAACCGCCACCAATCACGCCGAGTAGTTCTGGTATATTTTTTCACAATGAATTCTTCGGAGCTTTGTCTCCCACATAAAGACAGATGAACAACAGACTTATCGACAAGTAGACGTGCCAATAGACGCAACCGATAGATACAGCCACTTGTGCACGAGCCCTCACACTATAATGACATTGCGCTTGCAGGGAGCTGGTTAGTTTGCATAGCATCAGGGAATGACAAGGGCCTCCCCATCTCTGTTTCAGGCTGTTCGAGGAGCACAAGGAGCTGCTCAACCTGTTCGAGAAGTTTATCGCGCTGCAGACGCGAGAAGAGCAGGCGAGCAGTGAGGAGCTGCAGGAGCACGCCACCAAGGTCATGAACACCCTCGACGAAGGCATCCGCGGCCTCGACGACATGGATGCCTTCTTCTCGTACCTTGGACAGGTCGGCGCAAGTCATCGCCGGATCAACGGCTTCCAGAGCCAGTACTTCTGGGTGAGTTTAAACAGCATTTTAACGGGGACGTTCGTGTGAAAAAGTGTGAAGAGATTGTGTAGTGTACCTTCCGTAGGACACACGTTCCTGTGTGACCATATAGAACACACTTTACTTTCGTACGTGCAAAAGTTAACTTTTAAATACGCCGGGAGGCTCGCATTTTCAGACTGTTTCCTTGGCTGACTCTGCCCGAGATAACACTTTCCAAATATGATAGGAATTGAAGATTCAAGTGCCAATAATTTTGCATGCAATTCGTGTCTCTGTGTTGCACCCCGTAACCTCCTCTACAAAAGGCGAGGAGAGGCACACGTCTATGCGTGATCGCCTAGTAGGTAGGCAACCCACACTCCCCCCCCCCCCGCTCCAAGTTTGCCCACCACCCCCAATCCCGAACCACTTCCGCCACCCCTGAGGCGGCTGATGATGCGTTGGCTGTGTGGCGCGGCCGGACCCCTCCCGCTCCCAATTCCTTCTGAATGACGTTACTCCCGTGTGCCTCTCTGCACTCTGCATGACAGTAGAAGCAATGACACATTTTGTCACGACATCTCTTATTAGTTTCAATCGTGCACTGGAAACCCAAGTGTGTACTTAAATGCAGTACCCTCTCCATACCTACAGGTACTGTGTTCTTGGCAAGTATGCAGGAGGTATTGTGTACTTGATCAAGTATGCAGGAGGTACTGCGTACTTGACCAAAAACACACTATCTCCTGCATACTTGGCCAAGTACACACTACCTCCTGCATACTTGACCAAGTACACACTACCTCCTGCATACTTGACCAAGTACACACTACCTCCTGCATACTTGACCAAGTACACACTACCTCCTGCATACATGAAGGTATGCAGGAGGTACTGTATTGAAGTACACACTTGGGTTTCCAGAGTGTAAAATTTATAATCTACTAAAAACACCCACTGCGCTGCAGCCTGCCCTGTACAGGAAGAGGGAGGGGGAGCGGGGGACTTTGCCTTCTGGCAGACACAGTTGTGGAGGCTGTCTGAAAATTAGTAGCGAAATTAATGTCTAAAATCAGTCATTTTTTTAAACATGTGTGGTGTACACATGAACCTAATTTCATATTTTATCGTTCACATAATACGCATACACACCTGACAATAAGTTTCTACACTTACCAAAGTGCACGGAACAGTGCACGTATGGATGGAGCCTTCAAACTGTCAATTTGCATTAGGATTAAGTGGGCCTCCACTGGAGAGTGCCTGCGAGGTAGGCACGCGGGAAGCACGCGTGCCCGGCGGTACAGCCTTCCTCGCAGGCGCGCTGCCCGGGGCCCGCTGGGCTCGTCACTGTCACTTCAGACCCAGGCGGGAGGGGAGGGCGGGGGATGGTTTACCCGACGTTAGTCAGGCCGACATTGATCGCACGTCCCGAGGCTGCGGAGTGAGAGTGGAGAGTTTACTTCCAGACAAACAACGTTATCCACGCCGGCGCTTGTCCCTGGTGGTCGTTGGCCGAGGCGGCGGTGGTTAGTGGGGGAAGGGAGGGGTTCTGTTGGTTGTAGTGGTGGTCGTGGTGGAGTGTGTATAGGGCGGGACAACGACGAGTACTGCATGCCGGCCAGCCCCTGAGCCGCCCACAGTCTAGCCTCGGGTAGTGGATCGATTTTTCTCCATCTGCGTTCATCTGTTTGTCTGTCTGCCTGTCTTCCTCTACACTTCTATCTCCCCCATGTGAACTGCGTTACACGCGCCAGAAAGTCCCGCGGCGTTAATTATTATTCCTTAATCTTCTCCCTCGGCGTTTAACGAAGCGTAGGGTTAGGGAGAGAGTGTGGGAAAGAGAGACAGAGAGATAGGCACGGAGTCAGAGAAAGAAAGGGAGAGATGGAGAGAGAGAGACGGAGA